AAAAACAGACTTTCAGAGCGGACGGACAGCGCTGAAAGACCAATTCTTGAGAACTAGTCCATCCACCCACAAGTACAACTTGGCCCCCGAGTGCACATAATACAGCTGGGCAACTTCCTCGCCAAATAAATCCGGACTGGATTAGCTTTGCACTTCAAATCTTGAGCCGAGGGACCGTTTTCACTGCGGGCAATAGGAGACCGATTCCCCCGCTACCGTTAGTTATCAATGACGTTGGCGCTCTCTCGGATGTGTTCCTGGACAGCAGTGATGGCAGTTGCACTGACTGACATGCATCTCGAGACGCTTAGGGGGATGAGTTTATCCGGGTGATTGTAAAATTATCCAATTTTTCACTTTGTTGAAGTTTTTTTTTTTCCCGTTTTGCAAAATGATCCTCGGGGGTCGTGACGCGTGCCCTCAAGACACACATTCCGTGAGTAGACAGACTGGTGCATGATCTGTGCACCTACACAATGCAGGTATTCGGGTGCATTCTGAAGCTGCAGCAGCTGCTGCAGGGGTAAATTAGCAGAGACCTACCGACCATGGTTGATTGATTCGTCTTTTCAGCGAAGGAGTGAGGCAAACGAAGTAGCAACGGGCAGAGGAAATGGGGCTCGGAAGGAGAAACCAGGCGAACATACAGTGCCTCTCTGGCGGTTCTACATAATCCTCATCTTTAACTGTTCGAAATGTCATAATAATAAAGCAATAATAATAACAATTTCCGAGGGAAAACGACAAGTCCTCCGTCGTCCAAGCCAAACAAGTGTGACATCATTTGCTACGAAAGCTATCAGCTCAGCCTCGCGCACACTCCGTATATTAACATTCATTCACTATCCGGTTGCTATCTCGCTCATCCTGATTACCTCGATGCATATATATCGTCAAACAGAGCTGCCCGGTAAACAGTCGGCAGAGAGGGAGAAGAGGACATATATATATATATATATATCGTCAAATAGAACTGCCCGGTTAACCGTAGGCAGAGAGGGAGAAGAGGACAACAAACGAGGGGCTGTGACAAACTGTTTCGTATATATATATATATATATCGTCAAATAGATATATATATATATATATATCGTCACAAATATATATATATATATATATATATATATCGTCACAAACATATATATATCGTCAAATAGAACTGCCCGGTAAACCGTAGGCAGAGAGGGAGAAGAGGACAACAAACGAGGGGAACTGCCCGGTAAACCGTTGGCAGAGAGAGAGAAGAGGACAACAAACGAGGGGCTGTGACAAATATATATATATATATCGTCACAAACAGAATATATATATATATATATATATATATATATCGTCTCGTCAAACAGAGCTGCCGGGTAAACCGTAGGGGCAGAGAGGGAGGGAGGGAGAAGAGGACAACAAACGAGGGGGGGCTGCGACAAACTGTTTCGTCGGAGTTTTACCGACTCATACAAACCATTCGGTAGAAATGGCATCGAGGCAGATGGCCTACCGCCCACCCACACAATGATGAGTGCGATTGCTACGATAGCTATTGTCCACAGCTATCATTGGCACTCTGTGTGTGTCTGGCTGTGTCTGTCTGTGTGTGTCCGTTGAGTGTATGAATTCGCTAACCTACCGGCAGCCGGACGTGTTATGGCTTGCTGTGCTTGCCCCGATATATATGGCGTTGAGGAAGGAAGCTCAGTATACGCATGATTAGGTCCTCAGGCAAATGCTCCCATCGTGATCCTTTGAAGATGCACTGCAACAGCCTGCGTCGCAACCTGGTCGTATCTCTGAGGAGGCACGGTCGAAGTCTGCAAGTGATCACGCAGGCGTCGAAGTCCACATGATTTCCAGTGTGTATTCGACTCAAGGAAGCGGCCACGGGAATCAGGCGTTCCAACTCCGAAGCGCCGGCGTAGGAGAGGTATCCGTGAGAGAGAGACGCTTCGTGTAGCTTCCTCAGGGCCTGAATGTCTTCGGCCTTCATGCTGGACAAATCGCAACCGTCCGCTGCTTCAGGGGCCCAACAAGTCAAGAAGGGGTCTCGGTGATGAGCGGCACTAGAGAAGGAGGAGGACGACGACGACGACGACGAGGAGGAGGAGGACCTGTCAGCCTGCTGAGGAGGAGGAGGAGGAGGAGGGTGTGAACAGGCAAATGGGCGGTCTTGATCGAGTTCCAAGCGCCCGGAAAACTTTAGCATCGTCGGAACATCGCCGTGCGGCTTGTACCTTTTTGCAACAATGCATTCAGACTCCTGGACCAGCCTGACTTCTGTCCAGTGGTCAGCGAAGGGACCGCCAGCTCTCGCGCCGTCGGCTATGGCAATTAGCGCATCCGTCTGGCGATCATAGACTTTCGCAAACCAGCCTGTTTCATCGGCAGGCACGGTGGCGTCCAACATGAACATCCGTAACGAAAAGCGCTGGCCGTCGATTCCCGCCAGATCGAAATCGATCAGATGGGCTCGAAAACCCTCGTCGACGTCGTAATCCCCTTGTGCCATCTCGCTCCTCGCGTAGTCGTACAGTTGCTGAGCGATAACCTCGTCCGTCTCATTCCTGGCGTCCTCTCCGGAGCGGAGGAAACACCTCTCCCTCTCTGCAGCGTGATGGACGATGCAAAACTCTTTGAAATCGGCAGCCAAATAGTCCCTGAAAGACTGATCATAATCGTCATTCCCAAGATAACCTCTCTCCTCCTCCTCCTCCTCCTCCTCATCATCATCATCATGATCATCACCACTGTCAACATCCACTGATGAAGCACACATTTTGTCGTTGTCTCTGTCCATCATCCTACAAGAAGAAGGCCCATCACTGCTATCCTCCTGCTGCTGCACTCGGCCATTCGGGGCGTCAAGCCGTCTCCTTGAACGCGCCAAGAACTCGCCTACCATTTCCACCACATCGTACTTGTAAGGATGGTATCCGTGGGTCGTGCAGAATTCCGTGAATCGGTTCAAAAAGTCTATGTGCCGGTTCGTCTTCAGCAAATGGACGCTGAGGGGTTCGTCGTCTAGAAAGGCCGACAGCCAAAAAGGGTCTTGCTTACTCCAAGAATGGGGCCATGACTGCGTGTCTAGCGTTGCTAATTGAGTCGGAAATACGTGATACTCCTCAAAGACGCTGTCTCGAAAGGCAGTAACGAAGTCGAGGACCACCTCCTCCTCATCCCACTGACAAGTATCAGGGCAAGTAACCACCTGGTCCATATCGACTCTTCTTATGCTATTCGTTTTTTTCCTTTCTTGCCCTCTCAATCTTATGAGTTTTGTCTGATTGATTGCCAGTGATAGGTTGGTTCTTTCGTCGAAATAGTGAATGGATCTCGTTTGATTGATCAATTGAACGACTGAGCGAGTGAGTGATGGGCTGGTTGGTTCGTCAAAAATTAGTGAATGGATCGTTTGATTGATCAATTGAACGAGTGAGCAAGTGAGTGATGGGTTGGTTGGTTCGCCGAAAAAATAGTGAATGGATCGTTTGATTGATCAATTGAACGAGTGAGCGAGTGACCGAGTGAGTTAGTGAGTCAGAGAGTCAGTGAGTGAGTGAAGTGATCGATTTGCGTGGGAGATAGCAACCGGCTCAACCAGGCTTCGCAAGTGCTGGCAGGTGGAAGACGATGAGACATAAAAAAAAAAAAAAAAAAAAAAAAGAATTACGATTCACGACAATACAGTAAGTAATCAGGAAAAGCGAGAGAAGTGAGTCAGTGAGTGAGTGAAGTGATCGATTTGCGTGGGAGACAGGAACCGGCTCAACCAGGCTTTGACACAACTGCTGGCAGGTGGAAGACGATGAGACATCCAAAAAATAATCACTAGAAAAAGAATCACGATTAACGACAATACAGTAAGTAAGCAGGAACAGCGAGAGAAAATGGCAGCACGAGGGTAGTAGTGAAGAGGAGACAGCAAAAGAGTTGGGATGTCCCACTCACAGTTTCGGAGGAATTGCTACTCGGCTTTTTCCATAGCAAAAGGAAGAAGAACAATGGATTCTCCCCACCAATAGATGGAGCTGTTTTGTTTGGAAAAAGAAAAAAGAAAAAAAAGAAGAAGAAAGGGCAAAAGATGCTCGAACAAAGAAGCAGGCTCGACGAGGAAAGGCGGATGAACAGAAAAAAAGGGAGGCAAGTGATCAGGAAGAGGGGAATGAGAAAATTAAGGAAAGGAAGAGGGGAACGGGAAAAAAAGAGATGGACTGATATAGATCATCATTTGAGAAATGAACAGAACGGACAGGTGACGTCTGGCAAATGCGGACAAGGTACAGAACAAGATGAAACAGTGATAAGCAGTGGCCAAAAGATCTGTTCGTAATCGCCCAATGATGGCATTCAAAAAAAGACACGAGGAACAGGATCAGCAAAAAATGAGAAACAGCAAAAAATAAGAACAGAAAGAACAAAAGACGGCGTCCGCAACGTGCCCACGATGATACGGATGATGATGCTGAGGACGGAGGACAAGGTGAGATCGAGAGACACACGGAGAAAAAAGACAAAGCAAAAGACAAAGAAAGGCGCAGAACGAAGGAGAAAAAGTCAGGTATGCGAGAGAGATCAAAGCCAAATCTGTGCTATATATAGTCTGTGAAGATGGTCCAAACTTGAGAGAAGCGTCAAAAGAAGAATGCACGAATGACAGAGCGGTAATCGCACCGCTAAAAGAAGAGGTGCCGTCTGATTGTTGACGGAGCAATATCAAGCTACGATAGCCGCGACTCTCCCTATTATGCCCTTCGATCCGATAGCTAAAAATCTACCACAAAAAAAAAAAAAAAAAAAAAAAAAAAAAAATCTACCACAACGCGGACCCTCCTATGAAATGAACGGGCATGTGGAGAATGCAATCGACCAGCTCTTCAATCCGTGACCAGTAGTGATGACACATAACATACAAGACAATCGAGTGGCTTGCCGTCCATTCACAGGCCGGATTTGACCGCATAGAGCTAGAGCTATACTACTTTTTTTCCTTTTTTTTTTTTTTCTTTTTTAACACGGGCCCAGCTATATTACTAATAACTCTGTTGAACACGAATTTCGTGAGCGTATCTGACTGCAATTGCAGCCACAACGAAGTCAACAAAAAGTTCTCCGGATCCAAGAGTGCCCTCCTAGATCAGAGGTCCCATCTGTCGGCCATTTGGATCCAAGAATAAGGATCAATTATCGCTGGAGAACACACAATTTTTATGGTCCTCCGGACCCCAATTATGGTCCTCGAGTTAATGTATAGATACTAAGACACTGTCCAGTGATGGCGTTTATGTCCACCTATCATGATGCTAGGCATAACAGAGTTGATCACTGCAGAGACCCTGCCATCTAGCAGCTGCAGTGCGCTGTATACATAGTACAAGACGGAGCCTACGACCGGACTTGAACCGGAGGCCTTTCCCTTACCAAGGGAATGCTCTACCACCTGAGCTACGTGGGCTCACGGGGAAATTGGAGACGATCGGACTTGAACCGATAACTTCATACTTGCAAAACATGTGTTCTACCACTTGAACTACGCCCCCGACGGAAGGCCAGCGATGCATCTAATCCGTCCCTACCAGTGCATCTATGTCCCGATGATGCTTCAGATAGAGTACGCGCAATCCCGATGATGCTTCAGATAGAATACGCACAATCCCGATGATACATCAGGCGATCTACGGGCAGAAACACAGACACACCCCTTGTCGTTCTGTCTCAGCGTTGTCATGGTTCTTCCTAGCCTACGCTAAGGAAAAGGACCATGGTCCACGGTGCATCGGACGGCCATTCAGGGTACAACACAGAGCTGTATGAAAACAAAAAACGGGCCATCGTGACGATTCCCCAAGGCGGCAAGCTATATCGCGATGGATTCCATAGCTATCTGAGATCTATTCAGTTAGACAGAAAAGGAGGAGAGGAGAAAAGGCGAGGAGAAGAGTACAGGGGAAGAGGAGTCATGGTTCTTCCTAGCCTACGCTAAGGATAAGAACCATGGTCCTCGGCGCATGGACGGCCATTAAGGGTACAACACAGCACAGGACGAAAACAAACGGACCATCGTGACCGTGCCAAAGGTGGCAAGCTATATCGCGATGGATTCCATAGCTATCTGATATCTATTCGTCTAGTAGTCAGAAAGGGAGAAGACGAGAAAGACAGGGAGAAGCGTAGAGGTGAAGAGGACAGGAGAAAAGGAGAGGAGAATAGGAGAGCAGATGTCCGTACCGTCGCAAACAAGAGAGGAGAAAAGGAGAGAATTTTTTCCTGCCGCGAGAAAGAGGAGAGGGAGGAAGGAGGAGATGTTCGTGCATTCACTTTTCTTCCCGGCAAGACGAGAGAATGGTCCCCCTCCTCCTCCTGCTCCTGCTGCTCCGACGACGATTAGCACAAGCGCTGATTGAGTAAGTGACAAGCACCGAACATCATGAGGGTGCTTGTAGAACCCCTCGCTGGGACACAGCGGGGTCCCGATAGAGTGGCTTCCATACCTTCGACTTAAGCTCTTGTAAACTCACCACAAACGGTGATGATTTCGTAACCGCCCTACCGAGATGCTAGGGTGCGCGGGCCCGTTGAAATTACGCACGCACGACAACGTGCTTAATCGCTCGCCCTGTCCTAATCGAGGCTTAGTCAACTTCAGTTATACATCCCATAACCAAGAAAGTAAGGCGAACCTGACGATGATTGGGGTCACGATAAACAGTAACACGTACAGTGCCGAACAGCAATTGACGAGGAAAATTGTGCCGTACAACGCTCATAGTCTATTTAGCCGTTGTTGTTAGAGTGTACGCACGTGACGATGACATCCCCATCTCTCTCTCTCTCTCTCTCTCTCTCTCTCTCTCTCTCTCTCTCTCTCTCTCTCTCTCTCTCTCTCTCTCTCTCTCTCTCTCTCTGTCTTCCCGCTAATACATATGGTAGATATTGCCCGAGGCAGCGGAGAGCACAGAAAAATAGTTGAATTGATTACATCGCTAATTAGTGGTCGAAGAAACCAACCAAAGATTAGGACTTTAAAAAAAACTCGGCGATTCGTGTACACAGACCTCTTGGGGACAGAGGACGTCCCAAAAAGGAAAGTATTCAAACCGAGCTAGCAAGCAAGAGCAGGAGCGAGTACCCGCAACTGACCCACTTGGGGACGGTCTTGCGTGGGTGGGATGCCTTGCACAGTCGGGATGGCGGTGGTATACAGCAATGATTTTTTTATGTTAAAAAAAAAAAAAAAGCTATATTCTTCTCTCAATTTCACCTCACACTACCTACCTACCACTACTCCTAATTGTAAGCATACGGGGAACCGCGTAGCGGCCAGAAGGCCCAGAACCGTGTTCACGAGAGAACATGCGGGGGCTCAACTCAGCTGTAATCCCAAATCACAATCTGCTTCAAATTCCACATCTGAGTCCAGACACGTCAGCTTCCACCACCGCTGGATGGCAGTATGTACAGCGGCAGACGGCTGCGGTTGTCCTGAACGGATTTGGAAGAAGAAAATGGCCAGATTCATTCATTTGAAAAGTCCCGCCCTTCGGGACAACTCTCATATGCAAAATGCAGACATCCGAGCCGCCAAAGCCGCAGCAGTAACTAGCGGTTACCTACACCAGCTTCTGGACTCTGCAACACCTCGACATTGACGTCTCGCTGCATAGTCTAAATCCCCTTGGAAGTCACGTAAGAGAGTGAAGTCTCAAGAGGGAAGCAAACAAGCCCCCGCCAGGGTTCAGACTTCAGACGGAATCCTGTTGAGAAAGACCCGCGGAAGAGAAGGCAGGAACAGCATTCGCTTCAGCATATTGGTCGCGCATGGCCACCGGTGCACATCGGCAGATCAGCGGCTTCTCCTGCCTCCCATCGGGCTGGCGACACCCATCATCGCCATCACACCAACAAATAAACGAAAATCATCCGACGTGGCATATCCACCCCGATTCAGTTCAGGGCCCTATGCCCTTTCTTCACATTGGATGTAGCTGTCGCTTGCGTCGGAAACATCGTCACCACCGCACTTTTCCCGATGACGCCGCACCGCACCGGGACCTCCTTGGTTCGTTCAATCTCTGTAGAGAGCTCTGGACGGACGGGAGGCGACGATCGAACCGTGGTAAATTGCCGGACCGGACGAGAGGGCCTCGTTGCACCACAAGTTCAGTGCAAGAACTGATCATCGAGTGCATTTGTCCCTCTCCAGCCCCAAGGACCCGAGGAGATCGAGGAATGGTCGGAAGTCCTTCACACAATTGGACACCGGAGCACCAAATAGCCCAGAGCCAGCTAGAGAATTATTCAATATCCCACCATCCAATCTAAGGGACGCTGGACCCTTTTTTCAGCGGCTGTTGCTCCCCAGCAAGAGACTGGAGCCATCAACTGCGCAAAACCTCTTCTTTTTTTTTTGAAAACCACAAGTACACGGCGCCTTGCAGTCCGAAACTTGCCGCCACAAGAAAACGAGGCCGTATAAAAATATAAAAACAAGAAAATTATAAAAAAAAACAACGAGACCGAAACGTCAATCCAGCGGCCTAGCTCAGTTGGTAAGGCACGCAAGTGGCATTCAGGAGGTCTAGAGTTCAGTTCCGG